CTGTCTTAGTTGATGTTATTAAATGTTATCTTGCTAATTTCCTCAGGGTTGGCAAAGCCTTCCAACCGCAGGGAGGCTTTTAGATCTAAACGAGTTTTGTGTGAAACACTTCAGCATTTCCTATGCATACTTCCATGCAAAACACATGAAGCCAATTCAAGGCAAGGAGATTGTGGAATTATATAGATCTCGAATTATTTCCACAATTATTTTCACACTACAGCTTACACATATGTTGAAAAGTCTATTGTAGGATATACAGTATTTTGAAAATTCCAGAAGGACTGGAAAATAAAGTGTAGATATTTTGTAAAATACTTAACCAAATGGTTCACACAAATATAGAAGCAAACTGCGCACTTGGAGGTTCCCTTTTAAGCCCTCTTCACTGGAGTTTAACATATGTGTCCTACTTTTTTAAAATACCGAAAATATTTGCAAGTATGTTTATTGAAATGTTTCTAAATTCTTTGCCGTAGTCGTCCCATTTACATCCATACATAATTCCCACTCCTTTCCGCGGGCATGGTGAGCGAGGGGTGGAAGAACTCGGGTAATTATATCTTACGAGTTTGTAACATTTTAAATTTCCAAAGGAAAATTAGACCCATAAATTTTTTTTTCAGATGTGCAGCTGAGAAATACTTTTTTAAATCGCTAATTTCACTGCAGATTAACACTTTCCTTTCTGCCAAAAATCTGCCTCCTCCCATCCTTCCTTAGCTGCGCCAGCCTCTCTTCCCCTCCTCGCACTGCTGGGTGACGTCTTCTGGATTGAAAAACAAAAACAAAACAACAACAAGACAAAACACAGTCTTCTCCATGACAGGAGGGAGGGAATGTGGATTGTGCTTCAGTTGGCGAAACTCACCTTTCTCAAATTGGTAGAGAAAAACAGAGAATTAACTGAAGTGTCATTTAACCGGGGACAAAAAGGACAAGAATACGGCTTCAAGCATCATCTACTGTACTTGTGCTCCGGCTCAACAAATTCATTTGTAAAATCCAGACACTTAGAAGAGATATATTTGGAGTGTATTTATCCTTTGTAAGGAAAACATCTTCCTTGTACGGTTGAAAGAATAAAATTACACTTAACTTTTTTAGGTATACATCTTTTAGAAAATAAAAGCCTAATGAAAATGTAGCAAAATCAGCCTTGTTATAACACAAGCTGTAGTAATAAAACTAAATCTGATCATTGGCTTCTTCTGGAAGTAAAAAATATAGAATATAAATATAGTCATGGGTTATCAGAGTCTACTGTAAATAGTATATGAATGCAGAAAGATAATGACAAGTAGACCACGGAAGGGTTTTGACATCAGCCTGTGTCCTGAGATTTGATCTTTAATGCAAATCAATGTCAGATGAAATTATTTTATGGAACATATGAGTTACATATAGTATATAACACAAAGACACATCATGTTTGTATACACACACGTGTGTGTGTGTGTGTGTGTGTGTGTATGTGGGAGTGAGTGTACGCATTAGCCGATTCTTTGGGGCACAGATTGGAAAGCTGAGCAGACTGTGGAAACCATTCCCCATGGGAATGCCTCTCAAGGATAGTCCCACACATTGAGAAGTAATGTCTACAACGCACATTTTCTGTAGGGTTTGCACATGATTCCTGAGGGATTTAAACCAGTATTAAAATTTCCCTTGAATTGCAGAAGTCTCTAAAATAATCTTTTTTTATCCTTGCTGATAATTTATTAAGGTTCAATTTTTTAAGATATTATCATGATTGCCAAGTTTATCACTGAAGTCTACTTTTAATTCTTCTCCTAACAAAAGTAATCTTTAACAACCCCAAAGGAAATATAGTCTAAAGCATTGATTATTTGACTTTAATGGCTTAAAAATACTGAACATGGGAGTCAAAGTGCCTTTGAATTCTACCACAACTGCCCCAAATTATAAACTCATGTATAGTAATAAAACAGGGGCATGTGCTCTGCTGTTTCCTGCTGTGAACAGGCTACATGCAAGAGCTGAAAGCATGCCGAATCTAAGAACGCAGCTTAAACTTCTGTTCTTATGTTCTTGTTTTTCCGGATACCCAAATAGGAACCTCGGTAAAAAATGCAACTATCACAGAGAGCCAGCTAGAGCGAAGTTAGTATCCAGACTGAGAGGGACTGGCCCTCCAGGAAGTCAGCACAGAAGACAGGACATGTGAAGACTGTGGCTAGAGAAGAAGCTGAGGAGCCCTGGGCCTCACGACGGAGATGTAATCGCCTGGCCTGAAGCCTCCCCGGAGATGCACAACCGCTACAGATTAAGCTGCGATTGTCCAGTGGGCTTGGAGAGGCACCGGACACGTAAGGAGGTGACCAGAGCGTCTGGATCGTCCCTGTCCAAGAATGCCTTTTTCTTTCTGCACCCTGGACTCATTTCCCATGGCTGGAAATGAAAGAGGGAGCAGAAAAGCAAGTGGAAGCCGAGACAGAGAGAAGAGACAGGCTGGGGTTCCCGTATGGCATCTGGGGCTGTCCCCAGTGACCTGTGTTCTTCCACCAGATCGCCTCCTAAGGGGGAAACCCCTTGCCCGTAGCTCCATTGGCTGGAGAGCAAGCCTTCTCTTATGGCTCTTTATGGGGCATTTAAGAATCCAAACCACAGAGAAAACTATCTTCTATCACATAAGTTTTAAAAACCAGTTTAAGCAAAATCAAAGGAGATTCTCTGTGCCAGGGTTTACTGTGCTCCAGAACTTGTGGGCACCTCTAATCCCCCGGTAGGCATTTTATAGTGCAGACTGTTTCAGTTTTACTGGATCCTACAACATTTCTTGGACTAGGTCAGAGCTTTGGAAACATGGTATACTTGGGAGGAATTTCATGTCATTGATAAATGCACATAGGTGAACTGGGGATCTGACCTTGAGCTTGCACTATGCACTGCATGTGTATGAGATCCACATTTGGGGATTCTCTGTCTTTGTAATATTTGACACTAGTTAGCATTCTCCCCCCGAAGGAGAATTTAGAATAGCTGAGGGGAAGATTGGAAGGACAATAAAACAGGCCCCATCTGAGGACAGGCAGTGATCTCCTAGCACCCTCACGGACTTGGATCCTCATGGGTCTGGACCCTCAGGGTGAGAGGCAGGTTCAGAACTTGAAGGGACTGTGCTAAATGTACGTGAAAACCACAGTGCTTTGAGGTTCAGGGAGAGGCCACTTGGTGCACTGACACTGAGACCTGGCCTGGTTTCCCAGAGGGAAGGGAAAGGCACCCTTTCTCCCTTAGCTGGGTGCTGCGGGTGCTTTGGGAGCCTGGGGGAATGTGCGTGAGCGCAGCACTCCAGTGGGCGCCTGTGGGTACCCACAGCTGGCACCGTAGAGGCCCCTGTGCAGATGTCCAGTCGGGGCTGGATCCGCAAGCATGAAAGGACAGCTCAGGGGCGCAGGAGAGCCCACTGACCGCACACTCCAGGCGCCTTCAAACCTCAGGACTGTGCACAAGACTACACCATCTCCCCACATGCAGGGGCACAGGGATGGCTGAGATGTGGGTTTCTACCCTTAGGTGCCATTTGCTCACTTTCTTTTTGATTTGTTTTGGGACGTGGGGTGGCTGGGACTGGAACTTGAGGCCTTGTGTGCACTGCACATGCGCTCTACCACTCGGCTACATCCTCAGCCACATACGTTATTTTCTTAAAGGCCGCCATGTTTGGGAAGCTTCAGGTTTTGTATCTGCGTAATAGCAAGCCCTGTAGCACTCCTGACTGCACAAAGATCCTAGGGCAGTTCTGCAACGGTCTCTTTTATGTCCAAGATGATATTTGATTTACATAACAATTTCCATAAAAACAAAAAAGGAAAAATCATTCATTAAAGCAAAAAGACTCTCCTTATCTCTTGGGTTCTGATGCTTTCTAGAAGGGGAAGCGTGGCAGCTGCTCGGTGAGGTACTGGCCACCTGGTCCGCTAGACTGTAAATTACAACACCCGACACTGGCTGTCAGCACACCTCTGTGCCACTCCAGTAGCAGCTTACATTCAATTGCTGGAGATCTGCTCCCTGGCCCTGATATTCAGCCTAATGCATCAGAGAAGCCGTTGACAGAAAGGTCACGAATCCACCCTGGAGAGGAATCTAAGCTGTGCCAAGCACGCAGTGTGGGGCTGATGGAGTCTTGCACACCTCCTGCCTGTCCTGCTCGGCACACACCAGCTGGAGGTGATAGACTGGCCTTTTCGGTTGCCTCATATTGGGACCCTTCACTGTGAGCCTATCACCTTCCTTGCAAGGAGAGGAGAGCGTGGCTGCTCTGTGGCAGGCCACAGCCAGAGTCACTAAAAGCTTTCACCACCGCAATTCCCAGTCGCTTCAGGACAGATAGGGCCTCAAGAGTCCTCCAGGGATAGATGTGTCAGCAACAGCCAGCAGAAGAAGGCTGCCCTCTTGCAGGTAGCCTGGACATGGCTGAGATATAAAACAAGCACCTGGGTGGAAGTCTCACTTCCAGACTCATAAACTAAATACCTCTTGTTGGTATTTCAGGTTCAATAATAAAATCTAAGCCTCAAAGTTTGAATATCAAAAATACATAGTTTTTGTTCTCAACTATTGCAGTAATTACCACATATTGCATGTTTTTCTACACTATTTGGATATGCAAAGAGACTTTCTCAATGTTATTCATATGTTTAAAAACTGCCGCAGATACTTTTGGGTGTTGGCTAATACTATCTGAGACAGAGAAGACAGCGTGGATGACCTATCAAAGCAGCACATGATCCTGTGCAGATATGTCTATGTAACTGGGAAGGTGACTATTTTTCCCTAGATTTAATTTACTTTTTTCTTTTTTCATAGGTAAACTGATTGCATGGATCCTTCTTCGTAAAAATACGTAAGGTCTTTAAGTGCTGATTTTTGGCATTCTTTTCTACTGCGTATTCAGATGAAAGGAAGCTGAATTTCCCCTATTTGTTTATCTTGTTACTATGGCAGCAACTGTAGAAATGCTGACCTTTGACCCCAGGTTTCCCTTGAGGACTGCAGAGTTTGGTAACAGCCTGCACCCTTGTTTTTACCACCAAAGTACAATCTCTGTCTCAGGAGCAGTTAGGTATTTTTAAAGGAAACAATTTCAATAAGTTCATTTTCCTCTCCAGCCCCTAGAACTGCCTCCCCCAGAAAATCTACACTGATAAAAAAGCCATGACGCCCTGAGCACAGGGTGGAGGGGAGGGGAGGAAAGACGTCCGGACACAAGTATGACTTTGATTCCTGGTCCGCCAGGTGCTCCCTTGAAATGGTCAGGAGCCCCAGAAGGTCATCTGTCACCTGTACAACTGTTTGTCAGCTGAGCAAGGACACACACGCCTCAGGACAGGATGAGAGACCACCTGAGGAGCAGGTACCTCATAAATATTACTATTTTATTATAATGAAGGGGCTGTTAGTGTTCATTAGAAAGTAATGAGATGGGCATAAAAGTAAACCTTCTCAGTAACTAAAGTTGGGCTTTTCAAGTATAATTTTCAAAATTAACAACAACAACATCAACAGTCATTCAGGTAGGTTTTGCAGGTTTAAGGTCTGAAAATAACGTTGTGATTTCTCTTCTGCCTTGTATCATGGGAAGGAATGTTCAAGGCAGAGATAAACTTGCCACAAGGCGAAGGCCAAACTCATCGAACTCATTCTGTTTGTGTTAATCGTTTCCAGCTTATAATTTGATGCACATTCATTAATTCATAATTCTCTTACTAATGTTCTGGGTGGTCATTATGGAATATATTATGAGTTTTCACCCTGCGAAGTAAATGCACTGACAGAGGGCATTAGTCAGCTTTCCTGTCCCTCTCTGAGGTACAGCCTGCCTGTCTCTGGGATACGTGCAAGTGGGAAGGAAGAGTAGAAGGAACAGAGCTGGAAAGGAAGGGGCCAGGGGCCAGAGGTGGTACCTGAGCCCGTACTTCCAGGACTCAACCGACACAGCTACAAGTGTGCTCCAGCAATCCCTCGAGGGGCCCCCAAGCCACGCTGGTGGACACAGTGTGGCGTAGTACCCCATCCCAGCATGCACTGGGTCTCAGATTTTCAGCGTATACTCTCTGTGCTTGCTGCTCCCTTGAGTTGTCATGTTACCATATTCAGATTTCAACAACTTTTAGATATTGCCCAAACTGCTTTGCAGGGTTTTGTATGCCTTACATAACATAAATATATTCGTAATCGAATTGACATTGTCAGTTAGTCCATTCAGATCAATCTTTTTCAGATAAAATTGTATAAGAAATAACCATTATTATCCTGCCTCAAAATTTGTTTTAGATGTTTATAATGTAAAGTAATATATAAAGGGTGGAGAAGCAGTAAACTGGAAATCCTTGCTCAGTATGGAATTGTTTATTCAAACAGAAGCTTTGCTAGAAATAAATAAGATTCTCATTATTTAATGTCATTTGTATTGGGTAGAAAGGCCAAATGGGAAAGGCATGTGACTGAGGTTTTAGAACTTAAAAATCCCAAGATCTTCAGGGTTCTTTGGGCCCTAGGGTGGAATGGAGAAAGGTTCTTTGAACCTGTCCGTGAGGGTCTGGGCCAAACCCACTTCCACGAAGTGCGGGAGCAGAGGCTGAGCTGGAGGGGCAGGGCGGGAAAAGAGTGCTGTGGACCAAATCCTGCACCCTGTGCCTGGAGTGTGTGTTGGAAACTTCATTCCAACACAGGGCAACTGTGTTGTGGCGTGAGGCCCTGTGAGAGCCAATGGGGTCACAAGCTCTCTGTCCTCAAGACCAGATTATGTCACTGGTGCAGTGGAGTAGTTAACCTGGGAGTGGACTGGTCACAGAAGTGAGTTCTGCTCTTGCTGCCTTGCTCTTGTCCCTCGTGTAGCCCGGTCACAGGCTGACACACAGAGCACAAAGGCTCTCTCAGAATACTGGCACCACACTCTTAGACTTCCCAGCCTCTAGGCTGTCAGCCAAAGAAACCCTTGTTCTTTACCAGTTATGAGCAGCAGAAAACAGCTGGGATATCTTCCTGCTTAAAATTTGTATCTCTGTTGCTATGGAAATTTTCACAAAGGTGAAATGAAGTCACAAGAGTGGGTCCCTAATGTGACCCACAGGTGTCCTGGTAAGAAAAGGAAATGACACCAGGGCTGTCCTTGCAGAGTAAAGTTCATGTGAGGGTACCATGGGAAGCTGGGCATCTGCAAGCCACACAGAGAGACCTCAGGGAAAACAATCCTGCCAACACCTTCATCTTGGACTTGCAACCTGGGAAACTTTGACAAAATAAATTTCTGTTGTTGAAGGCATCCAGGTGGTAGCATTTTTGCTATGGTGGCTTCTGCTAACTAATACGTAAGAGTGTGGGGGGATTTTATCATAATAATAGTGACAAATGAGAAAAAATTAAGATGATAACTTGCTTTAATAGAGGTTTTGTATTGGGTTGTAAATTGGGAGGTGCATTTATGTTCATTCTTTTAGTTTGGTTATTGCTACTATGACAAATTGTCTCAAACATAGCTTAACACAACACCCTACATTGCTAGAGGTCAGAAGTCCAGCACAGCTGGGCCCAGCTGGTCCTCTGTTTAGGGTCCACAAGGCCAGGGTCATAGGGTTGACAGGACCATGTTGCTTTCTGAAAACTCACTCAGGTGCTGGCAGCATCATTTTCTGTCGGCTGACAGCTGAAGGTCTCTCTCAGCCCCGTGGAGTTATCGGCAGTGCTTATCATGTTTTCCTTCTCATTAGCAAATCACAAAAGGTATGTGGAGTCTTTCTTGTGCTTGAAGAATCTCTCCGAATTTCCCTCTGTGCCTCTTATCTCCTGCTTTTAAGAGCTCCTGTGAAGCTTGAAAACAGGTACCAGACACACTTAGAAGAAATAAGTGCCGGCGTCTCGCAGCACAGTTGGGTGATGATAGTTTATAGTCACATGTTAGATAATTTATAAAGAGTTAGAAGAAAGAAGTTCCTAGAATGCAAACACAAAGAAGGAAAAGAAGAGGCAGATGCTAATTGTCCCCAGCTGATCATTTGATCAGTGCTTGCTGTGTGCCTGTGCCGAGGTGCCGCAGTTCACCCAGTAACATCTACAAGTGACACATGTCCACCAAAAAATTTAAAAACTAAAGAAAATGAAATAGAGAGCTCATTTGATTAGATTGAGCCCTTTGATTAATCCAAGATGATTTCCATTTCAAATTCTTTAGTGTTAATTATATCTGCAAAATATTTTTTGTCATGTAGGGTACATAATCAAAAGTTGTAGGAACTTGAGTATAGATCTCTTTGAGCAGACAATCTGCCCTGTAAAATTCCTATTTTATGACTTGTGATATAGATGCATTTTATAAACTTTATGAAGTCCTTGGGAGAAAGGATCCAGAGGACAGGCAAGCTGCTTGGGCTTCATTCAGGTTGTGTGAATAAGTAGGTCGTTTGCGTGGAGGCTGTGCTGGGTCCCTTCATTCCTATTGGCCTCGGTTTTTATGTTAACATAGCATGAAGCTGAAAGCACTGTGCTGGTCAGGAGACAAAATAATATTTGTGGAGAGGTTTAGGAATCCCCAAGCCACTCCTCTGTAAATCTGTGTTACATATTACTTTCCTGGGCACGGGTGATTTCCACTCCTTACCTTTAGTCAGGAAAGCAAAGGCAGTAGTGTTGTGCAAATAAAGCAGTAGAAGCCAGGAGCAGAATGCTAAAGAATAAGTCTCCCTGTTGAGGCTCATAAGTCCTTGCTTTGTAGAACACTGCCAAGTGCATTATTCACATTCTTTCAAGAAAATAGAAACCATACTAGGCACCCATTGTTGGAAGTGGGGGGAGGGAAGTTGTGGTGACTCAGAGGTAAGTAGCAGTAGGATGTCTGGAGCAAAGTCCAGAGTACTGAGCAGGTGAAGTCCAGAAACCAGGGCCCTGCTGGTGCCACTGAAATCAGTCACAAGATATGATACTGGAACAGATCTGTTGGATCTCATGGTTGACATTTGACCACTCAAAACAGGTGTGGGACAATGGAACAGGAGCCATGAGGGCCACCCTGGAATCATAGAGGAACAGCTTCCCACCACCTCTGGCACCAGCCCGGGGGCAGAGAAGGAGGCCTGACTAAAGCCTGGGCTAGCATGGCATGGAATCATTCCAGTGAAGCCACAAAAAGCAGAGAAAGATAAAGAGAAAAGAAAGAAAGTCTTTTCTCCCACTTCTGATTGGCTGGACATAGATGGAATCTAGCTTTCAAACACTGCAGGAAGTCAGTCTTATGGAGCAGGAAGGAAAGACAGCCAGTAAGACCTAGAGAGAAAGGGAATCACAAGCGTCAAGTGCTTTACTTGGCATTAATCCTGAAAACCAGTTGTCACCATATTATTTCTTCATCCAGTTTGGGACTTTGCTGAAGGTACTTTCTTAACTCTGTCCAAGCACATTTTTTTATTCCTGTATGCTGATGTGGTGTTAGGAAGATTGCAGTGAAGATTAAATATGGTAATTATGGAAAAGATAGAGCAGAAAGGCTTTATTGAATGAGAATTCAATAAGAATTCAATAAAGCTTATTAGTTTGCTTTATGAAGATATCATGGATTTTCCATGTCTAGGATTTTATCTTCAAAATGATAGGTTTTTCCAGTGCAGAGAGAAGTAAAGCAGAATAAAATGCCTTTATTGTGGGGATGGAGAAGACCACAAGGAAAGAGAGAGACAGGCACGGAACTTCTAAGCATCTTTCGTGGGGTCCAAGGTTAAATTGCCCCAGGCAGAGGCAGGATTTAGAAGGTGGGCTGCCTGACATGGCAGACCAGGATTGGGTAGGAGTGTGGGAAAAGGGAACAGGACATTACAAAAAGGGAAGTAGGAAGTCGTAATTTGACTCAGCAGAAGAAGGGTGAGGCTTAGCATATGGCCTCTAGTGGCCAGCGCCATATTGGCTGGGTGCCATAGTGACTCAGCACCATACCACATGACCTCCAGCGCCATATTGGCTGGGTGCCATAGTGACTCAGCAGGAACTACAGTGGGGCAAGAAACCAATCACAAAATATGACTGAAAATTAGCCATTTGACAATTTATGAATATTTAGAGGAAATTGTTCAGAGTCTTATTGCTGTCCCCCTTCAATTTCATCATGTGATGGTTCAGAGGCCCTCACCCCTCCTGAAAGCCAGAAGTACCCCTTCTTTCTTTTGGCAGTTCAGCTGTAGATCACCTCCCTGCTTCTCACACACACCACACTTCTAAACAGAAATTAATGGCAAAGATGAAGGGTTAGTTTTCCCATGAACACCTCCCTATTCCAAATTGATACAACCTTTTTAAAAAAATAACAAATGCTTTTCCTTTACACCAAGAAGGGGATTTTATTGTGATTAAGGACGGACAAGTGAATGT